AAGGCAGTAGATGATCCTCTAAGTATATAGCTTGGTTGGGATACTGCTTTAAAATTGGATTAGTAGAATAAGCTTCTGATAATCAAATAATTATTTTTTCAGTTATTTATTAATACAACAATATAAGTATATCCTACTTGCCACTTCTTATATAATTGAGAAGATGCACGTATTCAGTCTACCTAGTATTTTAATTGAGATAGATGTTTTCAGTATCTTATTCACTACAATTCTCTAATGAAATAGCTATTAGTATCTAGCCTAATTAAGGTTGAAGTAGATATTGAAAAATAAATAAATTCTGTAGTTTATTTGTACTAAGGAGATTTTTGTACTGGGTAAAATAGGTTGATATGAAAAGAATTTAGTTATATCTGAAATTTTATTTGGAGATATCTTTTTAAATATAACATCTTCTTGATATAGTTTAGAGACATTTGCGAAGATCTGGTATACATTTTTTACTAATTCCTATTTTGGTTCAGAATGCTTTCCTATCAATACCAGATCGTCATTTTTAATATATCGATTACCTTTTTTCCCGTTAAACATGCATTGGAGCTTTTTACCTAGCATAAGATTTATAACCATGTTAGTTTTTCTGCTATGGGAGCCTCCACATACCAGTAATCTGAATGAAGCATCTGATGAATACTTATTACCTTTCATTCGTTCTAAGGATTTGTTAGATGTCTCATTAATATTATATACAAATATGGGCATTTTTTCTTCTTCCATTCTGATTAATCTAAGTAATACTTATATGTTTATTCTTTATGCGATAAATAACCTCTCTCTTGCAATTCACTTTTTATAAATATATATAAATCCAAGTCGAATAGTATTTCAATCAGATCTATATCTTGCTTTTTGTATATCTCTTGCTTTTTTTGATTAAAAAGGTACTGTTGAATTATCATTTAAATATTCTTAATTATTATCAGAAATGATGAAAAAAAGATTAACCTTAGAAGATGCTTGCGCAATTACTAGAAATCAGAGTGGATAGTATCTTTCTACTCAATATACTACTAATAAAGATCTATTATTATGATGTTACTCGAATAATCATAAATAGCACACATCTCTTGGTTATGTAAAATATAGCAAGTCATGGTATCCACATTGTGCAAAGTGGCTCGCTGTACTATTGAGGATGTTAAACAAATTGCTTTTGCCCAAAATGGAGAATGTCTTTCAACTGAATATATAAATAGCAAAACCGTTTTGTTATAGCATTATTTAAACTATCATAAATAGTATGCATATCTTAATAATATAAAAATCAAAATCAATAGTACCTATATTGTGCAAACAGAGTTTTCTATACTATTGAAGATGCTAGACAAATTGCAATTAGTTGAAATGAAAAATGTCTTTCAACAGAATATATTAATAGTTATTCATATTTATTATAGCATTGCTCTAAAGGACATGAATTTCTTGCAAGTTTGCATCATATCAAAATTAGTAACTCTTGGTGCTCAAAATATGCAAAAGTAGCTCGTCATAGTATCGAGGTTACTAGACAAATTACAATTAGTCGAAATAAAGATTGCATATCTACAATTTATTATAATAATCACTCAGCTTTACTATAGCGATGTGAAAATAAACATATATTTACTACTACTCTCAATGCTATTAAAAATTAACACACCTGGTGTCCTTTCTGTTCAAAGAAATGTGAGGATTTATGTCACAAAATCATAACAAAATATCTTGGTTCACCTTCACCAATTCGTAAATCTGATTTCTTAAAAACTCCAAAATACCTAACTGGACTAGAACTCAATATCCTATACTATGATTACAGCTTTGTGATTAAAGTACAAGGTATACAACATGAACGTCAAATCAAATTCTTTTATCCAAATTTTGAAGATTTTGAGAAATAGCAAACTCGGGATCAACTCAAGGAAGAACTCTGCGAAGAAAATTGGATAGCACTAAGATATGTTTAGTATTATGAAGACCCATTCGAGAAAATTCTAGATATCTTTCGAGAATTGGGTCTTATTCTTTAACTATAATTATTTATTATCTGTATTTGGTAGATAACCTTTTTCAATCAATATGGTGCAAATGTATGGAAGCAAATCACAATTATAGGGTATAACAATCAATGTAATATCTTCTCGCCTACATATATTCTGCTTTTTTTGATCACGTTTTCTCTGTGATTCTAGATCATCTTGATTTTTGTGATAAAGACTATTCTGATAATAGTGTTAGATGCCCTGGAATTCGAAT